TCATGGTGAAAAAATTAGAGCTATGTAGAAACTTTTGAGGTGTAATCAAAGAAGTCAAGAGAAACATAAAAAGTTAAAAATGATCGAACAATCATAAGGGACTAAAGAATAAAGTATTTGTGATTAGATGATATGCAATCTCTTGGAACACCATCAACATCTGGGGTCTTGAAGGGAGAACAGAGTGCCTAGGAGTGGTTCTATTACATTTTGATGATCTTAAAAGAATGGAAAGGAGGAATACACTTGGGGGGAGGGGGCAGGAGGAAGAATGAGAGAAATTATCTCACAGTCAAGATGTGCACGGAAAAGTCTACACAAATGAGGAAAAGGGATAAGAGGTAAGGGCAACCTCACTGTCATGTGAACTGGTCAAAGGAGGGAAGAACCTCTCTCTCTCTCTCTCTCTCTCTCTCTCTCTCTCTCTCTCTCTCTCTCACACACACACACACAGAGCCGAGTACAAAAATACTTTGCTATTAACAGGGAAACAAGAGGGAAAGGGGAGATGGGAGGAGGAATAAGGTGGACAATAGATTAAAAGGGAGATTAGTTCTACACAAAATGAACTCTAAGGATGTACAAAAATATTTATAGGAGCTCTTTTTGTGGTGGCAAAGAACTGGAAAATGAGAGAGTACCCATTAACTGGGGAATGGCTGAACAAGTTGCGGTATACAAATATAATGGAATACTATTGTGCCGTAAGAAATAATGAAGAAGATAGTTTCAGAGAAACCTGGAAAGACTTGCATGCACTGGTAAACAACAAAGTGAGCAGAATAAGGAGAACAATTATACAATACATTATTCCACATACACATAACTTTGAAAGACTTGGGACTTCTGATCAGCATAACGATCAACCACTTCAAAAGGACTCACTATGAAACATGATACCCACCTCCTGATAGAAAGGTGATGGACTCATTTTTTAGACATGCCCAAAGGAAGAATTTGTTTTGCTTGAATATAAATATTTCTTACAGATTTTTTTTCCCCCTCAATGAAGGTTTGGAGAAGGTAATAGGGAGAAAATTCATTAATTGAAAAAAAAATTAATTTTTTTTAACGTAAAAGGACATTCAATAATTTTAAAGAAAAACAAAGCAGCAAGAAAAAAAAAACAAAAAAAAATTTCAGAAGTTTAATTCCCTGTCTTTCACAGCTGGGAGCAAACAAGACTTTCATTTTTTCACTGTCAAGCTTTTTCCCACTCACAAAGAGGATGCAAGGATTGAATAAGATGATGCTAGGCAGGGTTCCCAGGTAAGTGTTCTTGATATATCTTTCTCTCTTGCTTCAAGCAAATGCATTTAATTTTAGCTCTGCCTTCTTTTATACTGGGCAAGTCTGAGTGGCTTTTCTTCACCATTAACTCCATTAACAAGCTCCTTATATATCAGACCCTTCAGAGCATCCAAAAAGTCATAGCCTCCCACAAGCAGGGAACAGTTTCCCCTTATCTCTCTCCTCATGTTTAACCACCAATTGAATCCCCTAACCTCAACCTTCTCCATTACACATATAGCTCAGGTCTGGTCTCAAGAATTCTTGTCCCTATAGCTCTGTATGTATGCAAGACTCCTGTTTTTCTGTCTCTATGATATTAATTCCTTGGGAAGAGATCCTAAAAATTATGTGAAAGCAGATAATAATTGCTATGAATTTTTTTGCTTGATTACTCACCCATCCAGCCAGAAGAGACAGAATTTCAGTTAGGCAAAATGTAGCACATATATAATAAGTTACTCAAAATATAGGGGTTTTTTTTTTTAAGTTCTATTTTTCATTTGAAAAATGATGTCCCTAACTCATTCCAATAAAAATCACATGGCCTTCAAAAAATGTGCAGCACAGGTGCTTCATATATGCTGATTGATGAGGAAATTTAAATAGCACAGTCTAAGCATGTAACTAACTGGGATAATGAGCACTGCCTTAAGTCAGGCCCTCTCCTTGCCTCAGATCTTCATCAGTCTTGTACCTTGAACACTGTAACACATGCAAAAGACAGCTTAGGAATTTATTAGAATGCAAGTGTCATACTGAGGCACAACAATATTATAGATGATCACTTACTAGCTGTGTGACCCTGGGCAAGTCACTTAATCCCAACTGCCTAAAAAAAAAAAAAATTTTATAGATGAAACCTGTGCCTCACAGCTCATTTGCATAGGACTCTCCTCATTGGTGGAGACTGATAATGCTGCCTGCCTGGGCGAGTGGCAGAGTTTTTGAGAGCTTGAGAGAAGAGATCCTTGTCATCTGGCTTCCAGATTCAAGAGGTTAGATATACAATTCTAGATTCTAGTTCAAAATTGTAAAAAATAATAGTAATAACAAGTCCCTCCCAAAGTATCAAAATAAGGTGGACTTATAACCAGTTTCAAATCATTGTATCACAAAGAGTTAACCTAAGATTTTTAAAATGAAGCATATTCAGTCATATTGCTCGCACTAAAATATAGTGAGAGCAATATGACTGAATATTCTTTATTTTGACTATGCTAACATAATTGATAATTTAGAGTAAAAAGGTTTTTTGTACTATTAATAGTGTTATTTTCAAAAAAAATTTCACCTTAAAATTTTTTCCTATTTAAAATATACATAAATATTGTAAAGGGGGCAGATAGGTGGCACAGTGGATAGAGCACCGGCCCTGAAGTCAGGAGTCCCTGAGTTCAAAACCGGCCTCAGACCAAACACTTGACACTTACTAGCTGTGTGACCCTGGGCAAGTCACTTAACCCCAACTGCCCCCCCCCCCAAAATTAGTAAAGTAGTATATGTATACAATTTTAAAATGATCACATTTTTGGTTATATGATGAAAAAACTTTTCTGAAACGAGTGTACAATCAAAAAAGTTAGAGATCACTATATTTAGTACTACTGTACTAATAATTTTGTATATTAAACTTAGACATGTAAAAAGGATGGCAAAAAGATGAAATAACATTTTATCCTAGGGTCAATAGAAAACCACTGGAGTTTACTGAACAGAGATGGTCAGAACTGCACTTTGAGAAAATCACTTTGGCAGCTGTTAAATCTGGTACTTGAGGCAGGGAAAACAAGTAATTACAATGGTCTAGGCAGAAGGTGACGCCAGAACCAAGATGGTTGTGGTTTAAGGACAGAGAAGGGAATGAATGTGAGATGCAATGTTTAGAAATGACAACATTTGGCATAACTGCAATCCATCCATGCCTGCTCATCCTGGGTGACTCTCATCCAAAACAGAAAGGGGGCGGGGGGGGGGGGAGTAGGGTTGTCAGTCACCAGTCACTGTCCCAGAATCAGAGCACACAAACTTCAAACCAAACCTCAAAGGTGTCAGCCAAAGCTAAGAGGTGATCTGGGTCACACACAATAAGTCTGATTTCTTCAAATACTTGAACACTGCCATGTCACCCCAAAGTGGCAACACTATTATCTTAGAATCCTTTATGCCTCAGAGCCAGGATAATGTTGCAGAGAGAGTTTCCCTGGATTTTAGCAGAAATTTTGATAAATATGAGGAGGGAGAAGTTTCTGCAGCAGTGAGGCAGGCTTTGCTCTGAAGAGCTCAGATTCTAATTAGGGAAGACAACACAAAAAGGCAAACTCACCTGTAAAAGAGATGGCAGGATGCAGTGGTCCTTAGGGCACAGCACAGATACGGACACCTTAAAAGTTGATGGTGGCCAAAGAGTTAACCAGGATCCAAGCAAAAAGAATTGGCTGAACAAGAGGAGTGGGGAGGGAGAAAAGCTGTCCCAGGCCTAAACCTAGACCTCTTCTAGGTTTAGAATATAACCTCAGGAGCTATGACTCTGTCTTTTTTTTTTTTTTTACAAGATACAAATGCTAACGAAAGGGTTCTTGTGAGTCGAAGCACAAACCTGATTCACCAGACTCCTACAAGAGGGAAGCTATTTCCAGAAAGACAAAAAGAATGGCTGACGTACGGAAAGGGTCAAGATGATGTGGCAGTAGCTGACAGAAGCGCAGAAAGACCACTACTCCCACAGAGGAGTACGTATCCCAAAGTCAGACTTGAAAATGTGGAGGACTAAGCCATTGAGATCATAATAAGGGTAAAAAACAGAGGCAGGACATATTAAAAGTCTATATGAGTGACACTTGAGGAGGGGTGATGTCTGGGAGCATCATGAGAATCACGGGGACTGGAGAAGGGACAAGGTTAGAAAATGCTACTTGGGCCTAACCCCTAGAGTTTTCAAGATATTTTCCCAAGTTCTGCCTGACCTACTTCCTCCATCTATATGTATTCAAAAGACAACATCTTTTTCATTAAATTGTGACAGAAGATTAAAAAGAGACCAAAACTTTCTAAAAGATACCAAAATCAATTTTACATTTAAAAAATATCCCAAGCTTTATTTAAGACCAACCAAAATTCTATTTGGTTTAAAAATATAAGTCATTCATTCAATTTTCTTTTCCCTGGCATAACTGAATTTGATTATTTATAACAAAATGTTTTATAAAAAACATGTTCATATGCAAAAAGCTTATTTTACATTAATGGTTATATTTAATAGATTAATGGTATAGAAGGATAATTGCACAATTTATATAAAGAGATGTTGAGCCAGAGTTCTGACATGTTAATAAAATCCCTCCCAAAGTACTTTCTTTACAGATTATATGCCTTTCCATTTACCTAAAATTACTATGGGTTTACAGGGCACTTTGGGCAATTTTCTTCAGTCCACCAGGTAGGGATGTTTTACCTTTGAAGAGAAACATCTGAAGAGTATACAACCTCCAGAGCAAGTAGTTGGGGCTCTTCTCTGTTAAAAATCAGCAGAATCATTAAAGGTCTACAGATGCACTACTCCAAAGAAATAGTAAGAGATTCACCACATTTATGGTGGTGTTTATTCAGTCCATCTGCATAGCTGCTTGAGTTACTCCTCAATTTCCAAACCAATACTCCAGCTCTAAGATGCCACACTTAATAATAAAACAGACAAGACAGTACAGGAGTTTAAGTTCAAAAGGGTATTTTTTATCTTCTGTCTTTTGTACCAGATTTCCTTTTGCCAGACAATAAATGCTTCGGTTTCATATCAAACACATGTCTATCAGCTTCTCCCTTTCTCCCCAAGCGATTCATTTTCTTCTGAGCCTTCTTCATAATGGTTTTAGCTTTCTTCACCATCTATTTAGAAAATAAAATGTATTTTAGGATATTCCAAATTAAGATATCACTTAGCCTTTGATATACAGGAAAATTTTCAGAGTAAAGCCAAACATCAGACAGAACCCATCAAAAAAAAGAAGTTTCTACAAAAGGCATTTGCAACTGGATAAAATTGCACACACAGCAGCATTCCTCTCTTTTCAAAAGAGAAACTCTTCCCAAACTGAGGCATTCTTTTTTTTCCTTCATTTTAAGTCAATAAGCACTTGCTTTATGCAAGAAATTAGAGAAACAAAAATTTTAAAATTACAGTCTCAGTTTTAAAGAAGCTTACATTCTACTTGGGAAGGTGGGATGGAAAGGCAAGACAAGAGATATTTAGGTGGGTATAACACAAGGTTAGGAGTAACAGTAAAGGTTCAGGCAAAATGGAAATCTGAGGAGGGAGAGAACATATTCAGCTCAAGACTTCAGGAAAGGCAACTGGTTTAAACCTGGAAAGAAAAGAAGCAGGAACTGAAAAGCAAAGCATCCCAGAAGGGATGCAAATGCTAGAGATGGAGGACAGTGTGTTGATTTCAGAGAAAGGCTTGGCTCGAATATAGCACATTGGAAATAACATGAAAGAAGGCTGGAAAGGTAGTTCAACCTACATCTGTCTTAGGGATTCAAACAACAAACTAGCATGCTAGGGTTTCAACTATTGTCAGAATTAACTAGATAAATCACTAATAACAGTCATTTGTGAATTTTGAGAATGTTTTCTTTCTTTCTTTCTTTTCTCCTACTGCCCCTTCAGATGCTCCTGTTAATCAACTGACAAAGTAGTATATTTTTGCTGATCATTTCATAGAGAGGTATATAAGAACATAAGTAATGTTAGGATGGGTCCAACATACAGCCCATCCATGCCAAAATTGTTAGAAAACATGCCATTTGATAGTAAACCGAAACAAAAGAAATTTATCCTCTCAACTTTAAAAGTAGAGAAATGTGCCCCAAATATCCTTAATTTCCCCCTGAAAAACCTGCTAGGCTTCCTTCATTCTAAAAGCACCCCTGATCCAATTAATTTTTCCAGTCAGAACATCTACTTGGGTTTATTGTGTATGATGTAAAATAATATTCCCTTCAAGTTTCCAAGATATCTCTACTCCAAATATTCAATCCAGCTCCTATTCAATCCAGTCACACTCCAATCCCTTTATCCTTTATCTTTCCCTATGGAAGAATCCTAATTCTTTTAGTCAATCCTCATTGTTCCAAGTAGAAGTCACCCTTCTCCTCATCTCTGCATAGGCAGCAGTAATCTTGCTCTCTGGTGCCTTTAATTCCATTTTCTCACTATGAGCAGTTTCTAACTGCTACTGACTGGTCTATGATCATGAACAAGGTATACAGTCTCTGAGCAACACCTGTAAAAGGAGGAAGGTGGAAAAGACTAAACAATCTCTCAGCTCCCTGTAGCATTAACATAATTCTTCCTCTCCCACCCTTTCCTACTCTCTCTAATGAAAGCAATAATGGTAGAGCAGGACATAAAAGGAAGCACCACAAAAGCTTCCCTCCCCACCTCAAGACCCGCCATTGCAGCTACCAGAATTTCATAATGTATTCTAGATACAACAGTGCTGTGCATAGAACTTAAAATTATACTGTTTTCTTCCAATTACTAAACCCAAGAAGCCTCAAATCCTGCCAATTAAAATGCAACTACACAGTGACCAACTCATGTCTCAGGGAACAGTCAACAATTACACCGAGACCTTCTTCCTTGGATCACAAGACTGTTCAGAGCCCACCATATTACACATAAGACCTGTAAGCTTTCAGTTAAAACTGAGTCTATGAAGCAAATAATTCCATGTTTGATCCAAAACACTTCCCCTACGCTGCCCCATTGTACATTGGTGTTGTCCTCAACTCTTCACTTTCATTCAATCCACATATCCAATGCATCGTCAAAGCTTGTGGTTTCTCCCTTCATCACTCTTATAGACAATGCCTTCTTCCCACTCATTCAGCCATAACCCTTTGTCAATCACTTCTAGCCCGGACTACTACAAGAGGCTTCTAATTGGTTTCTCTGTTTCAAGTCTCTCTCTACTCTAATCTATCCTGCATTTTGGTGCCAAAAGGATTCTCTTAAGTCACTCTCTTCCTCCGCTCATAAACTCCAGAGGCTCTAATAGCAAATATAAAGTCTTTTGAGTCTTTTAAAGCTCTTCAAAACCTGATCATCCTATCTTTCCAATCTTCTCACACATTATCTCCCTCCATGTACTCTACAGACTGCTAGTAACACTGGTCACACAACACCCCATCTCCCAGCCCAGGGTCTCTGCACTGGCTGGGCCTTCCCCTGGCTTCCTACAAGACTCAGCTGATATCTCACCTTCTCCAGGATTGTCCCTTGGCATGGAGGCGGGAGGGAAAACTTGCCATCTTTCTGGGCAGTCTATTCCACTTTTGGACAAATCTAGTTGTTGGTCTAGGAAGGTTTTCCTGACACTGAGCCCAAATGTGCAACTTCTACCCACTGCATCTGGATCTGCCCCTCTGGGGTCCTCTTCCATACGACAGCCCCTCAAAGTCTCGAAGAGAGGTACTTCCACTCCCATCCCTCCCCAGTTTTCTCTTTTGTAAATTAATTTCTTCAACCCTGTACTAAAGGCCCTTCACCAGCCTGGCTGCCCCACTATGGACACTGCACAGTGATTTGTTCAAGTCATGCAAGAAGTTAATTCTCTTTCTACTTCATCAAAAAGCTTTACCAGTTTGCTCTTCCATAGAAGACACCACCATTATTCATATAGAAATATATCTTATCTATATTTTAATGATTGTTATGTATCGACATATCCTACTACAATTTAAAAAATAGAGACTAAAAATGACAAGGAAAAATTCTAATTCTAATTCCCAAACACTAACCTGGAGAACAGATAATGAAACACTACCTCTTCTTTCAGTGGAGAGATGGGAGGCACACTATGGATTGTGACATATGCCAGCCATGGTAGTTGTGACTTACTTAACTGTTTTTCTTTATTAAAAGGGAGAACTCAATGGTGGTGGATGTATATCAAGAAAGAATTGTAGTATAACGCAAAAGACATCAATACAGCTTTAACGAATGACACCCACCTTGGCATCTCTCAGACCAGAAACATCACGGGGTGTGCGTGAACAGCTGCGGCTTCGGATTTTAGATGTGGGAGGAACAGACTCTTCACGTTTGCGTTTCCTGGTAACGCTCCGAGACCTTCTTGCCTGGGTGGCATAGTGGCTCTGTAATTTATAAAAATCAAATTTAGAATTTCATGCCCTCAGGCATAATCCCAACCACTATTCTTCTTTCAATAACTCTGGAGAAAAACGTATTTCTAAAACCACACATTAAATAAGATGTTTAAAAGTTGAAGATAGGGACAGCTAGGTGGTGCAGTGGATAGAGCACCGCACCTGGAGTCAGGAGGCCCTGAGTTCAAATCCAGCCTCAGACACTTGACACTTACTAGCTGTGTGACCCTGCGCAAGTCACTTAACTCTGATTGCCTCATGCCAAAAAAAAAAAAAAGTTGAAGACAAAAGAACCAAAAATAACCAGTCCTTGGTCTATTATTAAATAAAAGTTTCAGTTGTCCATGCAACATGCAAATATATTACATAACTAAGCTCAGGTTTTTTCTTGTAATCTTGAGAAGAACCCACTGTTAACTAAAATTGATATACATCATTTCCTTTATTTCAGGATTCTCTTTTACATGAACTAAATCATTCCAGTGACATAAGATCACAGGATCCCAATCAGAAAAGAGAACTTAGAACCATCTTACTCCAACCTCCAATTTCACAAAGGCTGACTGGCAGATTGCTTGCACTATATTAGAAAAACAATATGTACAAATATGTACACACAAACCAAAAAATCAAGTAAAAACAGTAATTTCAAATGTCAGAGAGGGACAAAGCAGCTGAAGACCTAGGAAAGCCTCATGGGAGAAGAGCAGTATCCTTAGCAGAAACGGGAAAGTTATAACATAGGTCTCAAAAAAATCTGTGAAACAATTAATAAGCATCTCTCTCTGCAAAAATTAGAACACCATAAGATCAGGGATCACAGGACCACAAATTTAGAGATTGTAGGTCAACTTCCTCATCTTATGGATGAAAAAAATTAAGTCAGAGTGGTAAAGTGACATAAGGGCCCAAGCAAAACTGGAATTTGGAACCAGGTCCTCTGGGACCAGATCTCATGTTCTTTGTATAAAATCAAGATGCCTCACCCACAGAATGAAATTTTAGAATTTCCATTTAAAGTAACTAACAAAAATTTAGTGAGAAGCAGTGTTGGCTGAATACTGAAGTATTTTGGGAGAATGCATTTTACTGAGGACTACAGGGGTAGGCATGTGAAAGTAAAAAATAGTATTTCACAAAGCAAATAATTACAATCTTTTATACTAGGAGTAAAGTTAGTTTCTTTCATACCTGACATACCCTTTTAAAAAATATTTTATTTTTCCCCCAACTACACGTAAGAAAAATTTTTAACATTCATTTAAAAAATTTTTGAGTTCCAAATTCTCTCCTTACTTCCTTCTCTCCCCCTCCCCCAGTGGGTAAGCAATGTGATACAGGTTATTCATGGGCAATCATGTAAAACAATTCCATATTAGTCATTCTGTAGAAGAAAACTTGAACAACAACAAAAAAAAAGAGACAGAAAATGAAAAATAGTATGCTTTGATCTGTATTCAGACTCTTATCAGTTCTTTCTCGGTAAGCAGACAGCATTTTCCATCATGAGTCCTTTGAGACTGTCTTGGATCATTGTATGGCTGAGAACAGCCAAAATATAGATAAGATATACACAGCTGTTCATCATATAATGTTGTTGTTACTGTGTACAATGATCTGGGTCTGCTCACTTACTCTGCATCAGTTTATAAGTCAGGCCTGCACAACATACAGCCTGAGAGCCTCTTGTGGCCAGCCAAAGGGTTTTAGGTGGCCCGGGAAAAAGCATAGAGGATGTAAATACAGGCCTATACAACATACTGCCTGCGGACTGCTTTGGTGGGCTACAAGCAGCCCACAGGCCATATGTTGTGCAAACTTGATGTAAGCCTTTCCAATTCTCTCCCTTCTAAATGAATATCCTATCTACTGATGCCTCAGTGTGGGATGGAAGTGACCACAGGTTCCTGAAGCCTGCTAGCATACGGTAACCTCTGGCAGAGAGGCTTCAAGTACAACTCCAAATGCATATTGTACTCAAACTACCACCTGAGAACTAGCCTAGCTAAGCACCAGGATGAAAACAAGGGGGAGCCACAAAGCATGGAAAAAAACGCTAAGATTTGCAAAGGGGGAAGGAATATCCACATTAAAGACATCACAGATTATAGATTTCTATCTAAACACAAAGAGCTAAGAATCGTAGAAAAATATCTTATCATACAAGTGGCAGTAAGGAAACTCTAAAAAAAAAAGATTTTAATGGTTGTCCCAAAATGATATCACTATGCTAGAGTTAAAAACAAAAGAGAAATTTAAAAATATAAATATGGAGACCTTTTCATTATACTGTAAAGGTCTAAACTGTAGCCACTAGAAAATGAAGGTTCTAAAAAGGACAAGTCTTCAAACAAATTTCTAAAAACTTTCCAACAATGGTAAACACTGGTTTCTGAAAATACTTGCCATTCTAGATCACTAGTATATATGATCCTAAAATTTGTCTGAGTTAACAGACCCTGACAACTGCTTCATTAGACCTATATTCTCTAAGAAAACAGTAGTGATTAATATGCTTAAAACCAGTTATTTCATTTATTTGATGAGCTCTGAATAAAAGAAGCAATCTCAAATTATCATCTTTTAAGAGGTTCTATGCTTAAAATCAATATTGTGGAACTAATGGAAGATCATTCTCCTTTGTCTTTTGTTCCCATTGAAAGAAAACACCCATATCTCACTTACATTTATCAAAAAAAGAACTTGGTTTTTCATATAATCACATATTACCCACTCTTTAATAAACCAAACCACCTATACACACTTACATCATCTTTATCATCCATGTCAATACCGAGGCTGCGCATCTCATTCTCCAGTGTTTTCCGTTGAACCTGGAAAATAAAGTAATTAATGATGTTGTATTGCATACTTAATTCAATTCTGGGACAACACAGAAGACAGTGCTAACCTATTTGTGCAAATCAGAACACTTCTTCAAAGTCAATGGGGAAAAAAAGTTTGTATCATTCTTTAAAAACAATCCATGAAAAATTCCTCAACATGTCTATTTCGTGTAAATGGCTAACATTTCATAAGAACTGTGAACTATCCATTTCCACAACTACTCACTTATGAGGACTCACATGGGGACAACAGGTATGGCAGGAAGGAAAACAAAGTATGGCCAATAAACGTGAAGTACTGGTCAAGAAACAAAGGGCTATGGGGGCAGCTAGGTGGCGCAGTGCATAGAACACTCGACTGGAGTCAGGAGGACCTGAGTTCAAATCCAGCTTCAGACACCTGACAGTTAACTAGCTGTGTGACCCTGGGCAAGTCATTTAACCACACTGCCTAGCAAAAAACAAAAACACAAGAAACAAAGGGCTGTGGAGGCAGAGGCAAAAGTGGCACTTTTGTCACAGTTGTAAACTGAAGACAAGAGTTTCAGAAAAGAAAAAAATTAACAGTTGAGGAAACAGAGGCCCAAAAGAGTTAGCTAATTTGCCCAAGAATACACATAGGTAATAAATGACAGGTGTATCTATGAAATTCAGTGTGTTGACAAATCTTGTTGTTTTTACTGGTCCAGCATCTCTTATATCACCATCTTTACTGTAGTAAAATACACACACATACACAGCAGTATGTATACATACAAATATACAGAGTAGTGATACAAGAGATGCTGGACTAGAAAAACAAGATTTGGCAACTAACTGGATTTGTGGGGGGAGAGAATCTGAACACGCTGAACTTCAGGTGTCTAGGAGACATCCCATTTGAAATGTTCAGTAAGCATCTGACTAGAATTCAGAAGAGACCTGGGCTGGTTATTAAGATCTGGGAGTCATCTGCAGAGAGAGGGTAACTAAAACCAAGGAGCTAATGAGATCGCCAAGCAAGAAAGTTTAGACTGAGAAGTTTTGTTTTCATTTCTTAAAGAAAGATGCTTCCAGATTAAGAAAAAAATGTTATAATCTTGGAGGTGATTTATGTGAAATGTAGAATAAACTGTAGGGGTGACTTTGGAATAAAAAGAATATAAAGAAATGAAGAATAAGTAAAGGTATTAGTTACACAGAACACAGAAAACAAAGTAGCTCAACGTAATTTTTTAACTATTAACACTAAACTTGATTCCTGACCATAAATACTGTCTGAATCGTGAAATCTCACATCAATACAGAAAAGTATTTTATAACGTTAGGAGACAATCCACTATCAAGATGTTTTTTCTTTAAGACTTACCTTTTTAGCAGTGCGAGGCATTCTGGGGCCTGATGTATCTTTCTCTTTAGATTGCAGAATTTTCAGTTTCTTTTTCTCACGAATTTGCTTTGCCAACTGGTGAATTTCCATCATTTCCTCATCTTCAGTTTCTGATTCACTGTCATACTCTCCAGCAGCTTGTCTTAGTTCTTCTTCCTTCTCTAATTCTTTCAATTTCTTTGACAAACAAAAAATTTAATTTGCAGAAATTAAGACTTAAGATTCAAAAATAATGCCAGCAAATTTTGCTTCAGAATCATCTTCCCATACATAAACATTTAAAAGGACACAAAGGACTATGCATTATAGTCTAAACTTATCACAACAGCCAAGTCAGATTTTATCCTATGTTCAAAAGTGAAATTGGACAAAAAAAAAAGTTTGACTTCACACACACACACACACACACTCTTTCTCTGCACACTTTTATATAAGCTACATAAAGTTCTACCAGAATATAATGAGACAATGTCACCACCCCTATTTTCTTAGTTTGCTGGAAATCATTTACTTTAATAGGATTAACAGTAAGCTTGGAATCCCTTTTCCCTTTCATCACCCCAATGGTTCCTACTCATACTCTCTGCTTTATCGCGGACATTTTAAACCACTATAAACTAAGGAGTATTTCTTTCAATTAAATCTACCTGAATTTCAGCCTTTTAATTTAATATACTTTCTATTTCTTTTAATTTGATGATATAAAGATAATTCACATTTCAAATGATACTTAAAAAAAGAAATTTTTTTTTAGTCTAGAGAAATATTAACACAGCAAAATCAGACCAGAAGATAAGACCAATTCACACGGCTCCTTGAGCAGCAGAGAGCAGAAGGACTAAAATCTATTATGCATGACGCAATTTTCATAAAGCTACAAATGGATCAGAAAAAAAAAAGACTGCTCACAGGCAGCTAGGTGGTGCAGCGGATAGAGCACCGGCCTTGAAGTCAGGAGGTCCTGAGTTCTAATCCGGCCTCAGACCAAATACTTGACACATACTAGCTGTGTGACCCTGGGCAAGTCACTTAACCCCAATTGCCTAAAAATTAAAAAATTAAAATATATATGGGGCAGCTAGGTGGCGCAGTGAACAGAGCTCTGGCCTTGGATTCAGGAGGACCTGAGTTCAAATCCAGCCTCAGACACTTAACACATACTAGCTGTGTGATCCCTGGGCAAGTCACTTAACCCCAATCACCTCACCAAAAAGAAAAGGAAAAAAAAAAAAAAAAAGACTGTTCACACCCAAAACTGCTGCACTCATGTAGATACAGTTTTAGGATAACTTCTCTAGAAAGATAAATCCTACAAAGTATACAAAGCAATATCTTAACAAAAACCAGTGCAAAATACTATAATTATTACTATTTTACAGATGAGAAAATTAAAGCTGAGAAAGAAATTAAGTCACTTGCTTAGTCAAAATACTGGAGACAGTAATGCCAGAAGCCTTTCCATGATGTTTCTTTTTTTAAACTAATTTTAAAATATCCAAGAATCATATTTACCTTCAAATAAGAGAATACCAAGGGGAATGTAACATGCCAACATCAGAAAGTGACAAACTCACCTCCATGATGTCTGGGTCAATATAATCAGCTATATTATGGCCTTCCCAGATTTCTGGTATCTTATCATATTTTTCAGATGAATTCATTAGATCCCAATATTCTAGAAAAAAATTTAGAGAAAAGAAAACCTTATAATACTCTCACCACTATACATAAAAGCATATGCTTAATATGAGAATCACTAGTATCCTTAAAGGAACCTAGATCATTTCTATTCTGAGCAAATTCCCTGAGAGATTTCACCTTTTCTACAAGTACTCCTTCCTTCTTATCTTAATGAAATCTTTCTCTTCAATGAAATCTTAATGAAGAGTGACCATCCCTCCCCTCACACAGCCAGATGGATGAGGTGGCATACTCAGTACTGCTTCCACAATCATCTCAAGCTTTCCCCTTCTAAGGGGGGAAACGTCTATTTTTATCTTCATTCTCCTATAACCTTTGTCTACTATTCTCTTAAATACACTCATGACCTCTATCTCCACGCCCCAATAATTAATCTGGATACCACCACTTAACACTACAAACTACCAAGATTAATTCAGAAATTTCCCTCTATGACTACAATTTCCTACCTATCCACATGATCTCATTCCTACAGAACACGTATCTTTTCATTCTTCAGGACATGTAGGTTCTGGACTTTCCCTAGTCTCCTAGTCCATCTCTCTGATTTTTTTTTGCCTTCTTCTATGCAGTTACAAAGATCCTGTGAGCAAGAATTCAAGTCTGTGCTCTCTAGTACTCTAAAATTTCTCATGCTCTTGTCTTTCCCCCAGTATCTACTTTGCCAATCCCTAACCCCAAGTGCAATCACTGTATTTCTCCACTTCAGTTTCTTAACAGAGAAGCACTTCTGGACAAAATTACAAATCCTCCAATGTGTCCTAAATGAAACTGGGAAACAAAGCCTTACAGACTCTTCAATACATTTCCAAAAACAACTGTTCCAAAAACTTTTCTGCTTTCCTTCCCAACCCCCTAACATGCCACCTACCCTCCTTCTCTTTAGAAGACCTCAACTATTCTCCTGGAATAAGGGCTTTCCATTGAGCTTCCTCAAATGCTCTTCTCCATCTCAAATTTTAGTTCATTTTATCCATCTTAGGCAAAAGAATTATGTTTCCTTCTACAAAACTCTATTTTACAGTTTCATTTTGTCAGGTATAACTCAAATTCAATTTAGCATTTGAATATGTCTTCTACTACCACTTGTACTGTACTTACTCTGAAGATCCAAAATGTAATCATCTCCCATTTCCAGCTCAAGATCTCGTTCCTAAAGAGAGAGAATAAAGTTATCTACAAAGTTGGCTACAAAGGCCAAAATTCTTACAATCCAAGATAATCAGCCTTACTTTCTCTTTCAAGCCCACAGAGTGTGAGTTATGGTTCCTCCTGATCAGAAAATGGAGCTAAATCAAAACCTCGACCCCATTACCATGATAGTCTCTACGTTTATGAAACCCACAAAGTTCATTATTGAAGCTATAAAGAAACATACCCTTTTCTTTTTGGGTGCATCAGTTTCCATTCTCTTCTTGCGTGCTATTACACCCTCAGGAATGAATGGTGGCCTCTCCTGGAAACATAATTTTGAAGGATTATACTTAGAAACGTACAGCACCATAAGAATTAATGAATATGAAAAAATAAGAAACATAGGAAGATTTAAGAGCTGATAAACAGTTAAATAAGTAGAACCAGAAAAACTAAACAGCTGATGCCTAGAATAGCTATCATTTTACAAAGCTTTTAAGATTTGCAAATTTTTTATACAGTCAGTCAGTAAACACTTTTATGTGACTACTATGTGCCAGGCACTGTGCTAAGCACTGATGATGTTATTACTGGTGTTCAGTTGTTTCAGTCCCGTCTGACTCTTCGTGATCTTATTTGGGGTTTTCTTGGCAAAGATATGGGAGTGGTCTGACACTTTTTTCTCCAATTCATTTTACAGACAAGGAAACGAAAGCAAAGTAAGAGACTTGCCCAGGGTCACACAGCTAATAAGTGTCTGAGGTCAGATTTGAACTCAGGTCCTAGTGACTTCAAGGCTAGCACCCTATCCGTGCACCACCTAGCTGCCCCACTGGTCATATAAAAAGAGACAAAAGACAGTCCCTGCCCTCAAGGAGCTCACATTCTCCTGGAGGAGCTCACAATATGTTATCTCATTTGATCTTCACAACAATCCTGTAAAGTAGGTGCTATAATTATTTTCATCTTATAAATAAGAAAACATGAGATGCAGTAAGGTTAAGTGACTTGACCAGAGTCCACAGCTAGTAAGAATCTGAGTGAAGATTTAAACCAGGGTCTTTCAGACTCCAAGTCCAACATTCTATCGACTGTACTACCTACCACTATGCAAATGAATATAAATAAAAATTACAACAAAAACAAAATGAAATCCAAATGCTGTGTTAAAATTATAATTATATATATAATTATAATGACCAAGAGTGACTCCCCAAAAGATAGAAGTGCTGCTCCTTCCCTTCTTTGCAGAGATGGGAGGAGTATGAGTAGGGAACCCAGCAAACTTGAGACAAACTCTGAGATTCAATGTTTAGTTTTGTGGAACTTTTCTTCTATCTTTTAAAAAAAATTCTTTGTTACAAGGATTAGCATGCTACATAGAGGAAGAGATACACTGGGAAATCCAGGTGATTTAAAAACAAAAGATACAAATAAAATCTTTTTAAAGACATGTTTTGCTATAGTTTCATAAATTTCTCCTCTATTGGATTAAGTATCCATTACGTGCTCAAAGTCAATTTTTGAACCTCTTTTTCAGGCCTTGGGATCCGAAATTACAAAATTCACATTAACAAACCACTGCACACACCAATAGTCATTTACTCAATCCAAGTCAACAACTAACACAATAATCTTACTCCCAAGCCCTTTAAAGAAATAACCTTACCTTATCATCTCTTTTGCTTGGTACTGCTAAATGCAATCTATTCAGCACTTCATTCACTTTGTTTCCTTTCATTTTGGTTTCAACTCGATGAGTCAGAAGTCTATCACAAGCCTAATAACATATTAAGAAAGCACAAAGTCTAAGCAAGGGGTAAAGGTAAAGACTGTACAAACAAAGCAACAAAACATGACTCAAATCTTCCACTAGAGTTAAATCAAGATACAAGCAGTCCCTGGCCCACAAATAAAGCTGCTTTCAAAAGTTCAATGTCAATTAGTCAGAACTCAAGGAACAAGTGTTCCCTTAGAAATAATGTTATTAATAGTGGTTAGAGCATAATCCACAAGATCCTGTTTAACCAATTGAGTTACTGAACCACCAATAGCCATATGTTGTTGCTTAAGAAAGAGGAAGCTTATAATAAAGAGGGACAGTGGGGGAAACAGAATAAAAAAGATAGCTTCTTCCTTCCAAGGATGAGAGACTACGTCAAGGCCAAAGTCTCGGAAAATGACAAATGGGTTTCTGCCATCTTTCCAGTTCTCATTCGGTACTCCTCTCATCAAACTTAGCTGCACTAAGACCCCCAGTGCAGTACTAAGACCCTCGTCTGAGGCCTCTCCATTCCCAAAGTGTCCACTGTGCTGAAGTTTCCCTACTTTACAATTAAACTCCCATCCCCTGCCTGAAGTTAAGGTATCAGAAAAAATAAATCTAATTGAACTCACACTATTTAAATAAGTGGCGGCCTTCTAGCCTTCCCAGAGCTTTTTAAGGGCAGCTTCCTTAAAATGATTGTTAGACTTTTCCTTTCTTCTACTTGTTAAAGACCATAGTTTCTCTGAAAAGCTTTTCATGGCAGAGCCTCCTAGTGCTAGGAGAACTGGAGCTGAAGGGCAGCACATGTGTATCTATTGGGCCATTTGCAAAGTTGAAGAATGCCTGCAGTTGAAATCTGCTGATTTTGATTTACTCATTACTCAATCAGAAAAAATTCTAGGTGTTTTGAGTTCCATCCTCGATTCTTTGATATTTCAATAATTTTGAAATATCACAATCCCTTTGATATCATTACTCTGTCCATGATATAAACCCTAGCTCATTCCCTTCCTCTCACTTTGTATATCAATGGCCTCTGTATCTGACTACTATAGCAAGTTACAGCATAAAGATGTTCTAAAGATACTGTGAAAATCTGTTGTTGCTCCTTTATGCTAAAACTGACTAAAATTATTGTGTGAGGGTTCTCACATATCTAAGAGACATCAGAGATGTGAGAATGCTTTAAAAAGTTTAAATTACCTCACAGATATTGCAATCAATCATCTTCAAGAGGTTCAGATATTCAGTTCACAAGTTAAAAAAAAAAAAGACTATGATACTACTTTAATAAAATACTGACCTCTGTTTTAACTTTAATAACACCTTCTTCGGTCAGGGTACTCGTCTCTATAACAGGAAGTCCTTCAGCTTGCAAATCTACAAATATTTTCTGGAAATAGATAGAAAAATAGAATATCAGTAAACTATTTCTAGCTCATTACCTAACACAGCAACTCCTACTTGTATTCAAAAACATCAAATGTTAATTATTCTAAAGGCTACATAGTTGTAAAAATACCAACTATTTGCAGAAGCAGAAATTCTCTATCATCTATTTTTTTAACTAATCAAAATTCAAATCATTAGGTTAGAATAAGATTCCTGAAGTAAAATTCCATTACCACCAACTCCAAGGCATTATCCAAGAAAGAATAAGCAGAAATGAAAACGTTCTAAAAAATGAAACGTGTCTCAAAACAGAGGACAGTGTCATTACCTGGTCATCTTCTGGAAGTTCAGATATCCTCTTCACATCACATTTGTTTGCTACAATAATAAGAGGCTGATAAGACAGAAATAATGAAATCAGTATCATGTTATTTCATGATAAAATAACAACTTTACCCAACCTCAGTTATCAAACATACCTTATTAGCAAAAAGTGGCTTAATATTTTTAAAGAGCTCCAGCTGTTCTTCCAGACTATGCCCACACTGTTCAGACAGATCCATGACATACAGCACAGCAGCACGCAGGTGGGCCAATGCTGTTATAGCCTGCATTTCAATGGTGTTCCTGTCTTCCAAAGGGTGATCCAGAATCCCTGGAGTGTCAACCACCTAAAAATAACATGTAATTGTTCCCAGACTTTCACAACTTTCTGTGGTGCCTGCATTTTCAAATTACAGAATCTCAGACCCTAGAAGTCATTTAGTCCAACATCCCACCCCATGCAGAAATTCCCCCTACGATATTCTTGAAAGGTAAGTCTTACAACTTTTCTACAACATATCTCATGAAAGGATGTCACCTCAAAAGGCAGCCCATTCCCATATTATGCTGATGACTTCAATGTAGTAGTCAACAACATCAAAAAAGTTTCTTCACATACAAGCCCCTCCCCCTGTAAACTAGATTCTACCCAATCCTGCATAGCTGAGGTTCTTTAAACCTAAGTACAAGTTTCTATATTCTATTTAAATTTAATCAAGATAAAATTTAATAAGAAAGCCAAGAGTTCTGTACAGAGCACTAGCATGTAAATTGTTTTTGATTAGTAAGAGTTCTCACCTGCCAACGCAAATACCTATAATCCATGTGTCCTACAAACAAAGATTTGGTTGTAAAGGCATAAGGCTGCACATCCACATCTGCTCTTGTCACCTTAAAATAAAACACAATCAGAATTTATTTTCATTCTCCAAGAAAGCAGAGATTATATACTTCTTTTCTATAAGCAACCTAAATGATACATGCAAATTATGGAATAATTCCATTTTAAAAAGTGATAATATGTGTAATTACATAACTCTTCCTCCTACACTCAGGTTTATTATCAGATATGTTCAAAATAAAGTCATGCGTATATGTCATAAGTATATAATCAAAGTTTGGATGGCCCTAGAGTTCAAAACATTCACATACTAGACAATATACCAAGGATTTCAATTCCCTTCCCATAACTTTGATGAGAACACTTGATCTGAGTAGAGCCCAAGTCATTTAAAATACATTTTTAAGACAGTAGGTCACAAGATATTTCTAAATTGGTATTTTCCTCTTGGTGCCAGAAATATTTTCTAGATCATAAGCTGGCCACTTACTGAATCTACTCTTCTGATGCCCAGTTTGACTGTTCTAAACAGTATTACATATTGCCAGATGAGTATATACTAGTAAGGAAACTCAAGGAAAGAACTAGAGTCACCAATTCACTACTTCAATGCATTAAAAAGCAATTGAGTAATATGCAATCAAGGTGAGAAACTCAAGACAAAAAAGTAATGAAGAGGTTGGTAGGATTTAGCTCAATAACTACAATGTTTAAAGAAAAAGAACTCACTGTGGTGTTGTTAAAATACTGTGTTTGAATTATTTCATTACAACCAAGATAAAAGGCTACCAATATAATGCTGCTCAAACTAAAGTTGTTTCTCTATTGTATCATCAAAACAGCTTAAGAATATCACACTATAATTCTGAAAAACAAGTAGTGCTGGACTCACAACCAGGAACCAGGTTCAAATTGCGGCTCTGAGAATTCCTAGCTAACCAAGTCATTATGGGCAAGATGTTTAACCTGAGATTTTTTAAATACTGGTAAAATGAGGATAATAATGCTTTTATCTTCTAGAGATGTGGGTATAAAAGCACTTTTTAAACCAAAAAAGTACTATATAAATGAAAGGTATCAATATCATACTGTTTGGCCAGCTACCCAAGATGCACTCCAGGTGTTTGGCAATAATTTCAGTGGGTACTTGAGCATTCAGAGCATTAACTGCCCTATGCATCCTTCATTTTGCTTGTCTCATTTGCAATTCTTTTAAAGGAACTAACTGCCCTCTGTAACACTACATTGCATAACTTCATGGTGGTTGGAACCAAATGCGTTAAAGAATCACAGGATGTTAGAAATGAAAAAGACCTTAGAAATCAACATAGAGCGGAACCCTCTTCTTTGATATTTTTTTAAAATAGGTAAGAACACTAAGACCAAGTAAGGTTAAGGTTTTGCCCAAGTCATATGAAGGAAAGGTGACAAGTGCATTGCCCAATATACTCCTTGGATAGATTCAGTCTTAACCACAGGGATGAAAACCTCTTCCCAACCCACTCCCTTGAAGGGTAGTTAAGAAGAAGTATGTGGTTTTTTAAAAGTGAAGGTTATTTAAGAAGATACAAAGGACTAGATTTCCAACAGCTGAAGAGGCAAGGTGGTCTAAGATGTCCTCAGCCCCCAACACAGATCTTGTAGGCACACGTATACAAGAGACAGAATAAGAAATTAGACACACTAAAGACAAGATACACACAGAGAGACAAAACCACAGAAAATCAGAAGACATTAGATGTAAGCCCTCTGAAATGTACTTAAATCCAGCTCCCTCCGTCCTTGAACTCACACATGCTTTTCCATATACACTTGTACTTAGCAGAGGAAAAACTGAAAGCTTCAGTCATCTGATAGTATCAGAAAATGGAAAATTTTTATACTATTAGGGTAGTATTAAACAATAATATTCTAGTACACTGGGTAGGACTTCTTTAGCTAGTCTAACTGGGACCTTATATTAAAAACAACATAAATAGGGGCAGCTAGGTGACACAGCTGATAGAGCACTGGCCCTGGATTTAGGGAGACCTGAGTTCAAATCTGCCCTTAGACACATAACACTTACTAGCTGTGTGACGCTGGGCAAGTCACTTAACCCCACTGCCTAGCAAAAAAACAAAAACAAACAAAAAAAACATAAATAATAACAGACCAACCTTATTGATGAAACTGGATTTTCCAACATTTGGATACCCACACAGAAGCAGCGTCCGAGTATTTGGGTCAATAGTTGGCAGACGGGATAAATGCTGACGAACTATTAAAAGTTCAAAGTGAGTGTGTTTAATTATATGCATTAACAAATGAAATAAGCAATTTAATTTCCTGTAAAAAGTACCAAAACTATAAAACTTTGTTTGAAAAACAACTAAACTCCAAGTTGCATTAGTATAACATCCAAATTTAAGAGAAAGCTGCTATATACTAAACAAAAGAATAAACATGATAAATTAGGAAACATATTTACTAGAAAATCACAAGTAGCATTTTTTTAAACTTGTAGGTACAAGAATGGGAAAAATAAAAGAAATTACATGCTTTTAAATAACTTTAGTTACAAAGGCCAAGAAGAAGGAATATGAATTGTGAGGTAGAGGTAATAGTGAAAAAAAATTATTTTACCTAACAGTGTTTTCATGAATACAAATAAGACTTTTCATTAATTAGGTGTGCTATTAATTTCTGAAGATTTAAACAGTGATACCACTCTTCAGCACATACCATAAAAACATCAAAGACAGAGTTGAATAAGATCCACGTGTGTGTACATAAACATATATGCAAATAAATTTTGCTGTACATATGTGTACATGTGTGTACATACACATATATATGTAAAAAAAATTTTGCTGTAGGCAAAGAATTATAGACAAAATTGGTGCCTGCCAAGTGGGGAATAACTGAACAAACTATGGTATATGAATGAAACAGAAATTTACTGTCCCAAAAAAAACCCAAAAAACAAAAAAAAACAGAAGGGATAGATTCAGAGACTCCATATAATTAAGACATAGATAAACTGATACAGTAAACAGAATCAGGAAAATACATTACACAATGGCTATAATACTGCAAAGAAAAACAAGTTTGAAAGACTTAGAACTCTGACCAATGCAGTAACTAATCTTTGACTGCAGAAGGCTGATGAGGAAAGCAGAGGTAATGGATTATAGATGCAAAATGAGACACACATTTTAGACATGAACATTACATGAATTTGTTTTATTTTACTATGTTTATTTGTTACAAGGGAGGGAAGAACTGAGAAAAGGATGGGGGGCAGCTAGGGATACAGATGCTTTCAAAAAGGGGGTAATCAATCGAACATTTAAAAACACACAGAAGAGAGCAGGATGAAGTTCTAAGGGACAAGACAAGCAAAGCAGTGTTGGCACTATTATTAATTTTAATATGTTTTTAAAAAAGAAATAATCTATGTAATGCAGATTCAGTTCTATGTTCAAAAAACCCTCTTTTTCTATGCTCCTTCAACATGGAAATGCCCACTTTTGTTGATAAATTTTAAAATCGCAATTAAAAAAAGGAAAACTATAAAATATAAAATTTTAAGATACTTACAAGGGTTAATTACTTTATCAGAGTATTGAACAAGAACTCTCAGAACAAGTCCTCCTCCAGTGCTTCACTGTGGCATGGAGGTGGCCCAGGGTTCTTGAAAGTTCTGCCATTTAAGCGAAAGTTCTGCCATTTAATCACAAGTTCTGAAGGTCCTAGACTTCATCTTGGCCCTGAAAGGCCAAGAAACCTCAAAAGGCATGAAGTATGATAGGCCCAGCGATGGGCTGTCTGTTACTAAAATACTAAGTTTGAAGAGGCTCTACCAGGTTGGATGTAGAATGATTTTTTTTTAAACCACATTAACTTTCAAGACCCTCTACAAAGCCATATAAACATAGGCAGTTGTGCTATAATGTGACATATGCTTTCCTAAAAATCACACTATGCCAAATAATGCAATTAAAACAACAAAGCTTATGTAGAAAACGGGGCTGGGTCACAAACTCAAACTCAGTTCCAGTGGAAGCCAGCACAGTAATGACGCTAAGGAACTCCAACCATGGGATTCCAGTCACTGCTCCACAAGGGATCACTCTACGGCTAGAAACACACAGAAGCAATGCAATGCTACCATCATCAGCCTGAATTTTGTCTGTGAAGGTGCCGTGGAGGTGGCAAGGGTCAAAGAGGGCAGGTCATCATCAAGTCTGTGCTGATGTTAGTCAATCAATAAACATTATTAAATTTCTACTATGTGCCAGGCACTATGCCAAGCCTGAGGGATACAAAGGGACAAAAGACAGTCACAAGAACTCTCAATCCACTGGGGGGAGGGGGAATAGACATGACAAGGGAGCTCCCTTGCCTTCCCTTCCATGCTTGTCTCTCCCCACCCTTACCTCTATGTTATTCTCCCTCACCTTCAGTAGATCTCTCCTCACCCTGAGTGGAGAAAGATGACTGCTACTACACTTTCCCCAAGATACAGCCAGACATCTCCTGTTTCCACAGCGGTGTCCCTTGCCCAACCCATCTCCCTCGTCATGCATGCCCCACAACTGTGATGAATTTTCCTTAATGACAAAATCATGAATAACCAAATACAAAATTCACGTTATGTTCAAATTGTTCCCTACTATGCCAACTGCAATGGAACAAATTCACTTTTTCAAAAGAAATGTTTTAGTAAAACTGCCTATATTGTGATCTGTATTAGGAGAAGCCACCAATGAAACATGAAAATAGGGAAATACTGAAAGTAATCACTAAAACAAGACAAGCAATGAAAAACTTATGTCAGTAATCAATATTTTAAAACAACTAGCTCATCAGTGTATGTACTCCCTTGAGTGAAGTAGATCATGTCCTTCTACACATAAATTTAGATGGTGTGAAGGTCTGATGAGTTTCAACCTTCCTGTGATAAAACTTCCAAACTTGAGTGGTTATCTGGTCTTCAGAAAAAAAGACACAATTTATCAAGAGGAATATGGTCTAAGCTTTCCCAGCTTGGCAGGAGCTGCCAAAGCTTCTTTCTAGAACCCATAATCATCTGACACAATGAGGATTAGATGAGGATTCTAGTTGAAGACTGACAATTAATGAAATTAGGAATTTGCTCTCAGCACATTATGTATATTTCAGCATGACAAGCATCTATAATTTTGGCCCTGTGTGTACCCCCCTCCATCAATGCAAACTGCCAACATTTGTATGCTTCGACAGAAGGCTTTGGGGAATTGCTGTGGTCAAAAAAAAAAAAAAAATCACAGCCAACCAGGAAAAGAGCTTCTGAATTTAGATAGGCTAAGTCCTCAAAGTGCTTACAGCCCACTGGCACCCCTAAGTAGGACTTTGTTGGAGACAGTTCAAATTAATTAAATTTAAACAAGATTAAAAATTTAAATAAAAGCTGGTTTACCTACGTATAACACATACCTTGTTCCAGATATTCCAAACTTTGTTTCTGTCTCTTGATAATTGTACACATTCGCCCCAGGGCTGCACGTTTGAGCTGCTTGCAGCGGTACAAAGAATCCCCATATTTCATAAGCCGAACATAATCTTTGGCAACACTTAGCAAAAGAAAAAAGTTACATAAGACTTTTCACTTCTGACAAAGATTTGTTGGAAATACTAAAAAAATACTAAGAAAATAAGATGTCTTACTTGTCCACTAGATTTTTGGCAATATTAATTTGTCCTAAGGCCAACTTGTAATGATCCTTGTCATAAAGAACATTCATCAAATCAGCATAAAATGGATGGATATCCTATAACATAAATAAAAAAGATTAACTGCCACTTTTGAAAAATAGTTTATCACCACTCTTCCCCAAACTAGTCTAACATCAACTTTCTGAATCAAGTTAAAATTCCCCTTCTCTCTTCCTCACCACCACCCCCACTTCAATCTTTCCAACCACATCTTCCATTACTCTTATCACCCTTCACTCCAATCAAGGCCACCAGTTTCAGAACCCAAACTAATCAGTACCACAGAATCATGGAAGACTTTATTAAGGGAGGTTAAATTTTCAACCAAATCTTTCAACCAAATCTTAAAAACAAAGTTCACAGATAAAAGGAAATCATAGGTAGGGTAATCATGATGTACAATGGCATGATGGTTGGAACTAGACCAACTTTCATGATTCTATGAGTTCTCTGATCAGATCTCTCTACTCTCTCTCCCCGCCTCCTCCCCTTCACCTCCTAGTTTGTCTATCTTAGTTTGCAACTGTCCACATTAAGGCCTTTCATCCATTTTTTTCTCTCTTCTAACAGTCCTCTCTCCAAAATTTAATAGCATTCCAAATTCTGCATATAGCAAACTCTCAATGTGCATGTTAACTGACTAAACTTTTTCAGTAAGTTTTTTATTTAGATGGTCTAGTAAAAATAACAGAAAAATACTGAAAAACATGTTTGCTTAAAAATTTGGATTCTCTCAAATTATTAAAAATAACTAGTTTAACCCCAAACATGAGCTTCCTGAAAGGACCAAGAAAAGTAAACACTTTACAATCAAAATTTCAGTGCTATGAAGAACCTCAACCAAACCAAGAGAACAATATGAACATACTTTTAAGGCTCTGTGTAGTTTTGTTTTTTTACACTAAAAGGATTAAGATATTTTATGAAACCCCCAAATGAAATCCATATTTTTAGTCACCTTACCTCTAAATGCCTCTATCTCCACCTTTCCTACGCATTCCCTTTCCCAATAAATCCCTTTCTCTTTCTGCCCCAGTGCCTGAAAAGTGAATATACATTATTTTAATCCCCCTCCCCCCACTCCCAAAAAAAGAAAAGAAATTACATCATAGAATTACTTACATCCAATTTGGGGAAGTCAGTTAAAATCTGGGTGAGTCTATCATGGTAATTCTGCTGAGTATATTTAACTTTCCTCATGTAAAAATGTCTAATGCGGTGAATTTGATAATGTTTATGAATGACTGTTGGAGTCTTTCGTTGAGTCTTTGACAGTGTCAGGTCTATAAAGTCCTGTAATCAAAGACTTTATTAGAGAAATTCAAGCTAAACTCTTTAAATGTCATACATTTATCAAACCTCTTTTAAAAGAAAAATGCTTCAAAAGTAAATTATATGAAAAATATTCATTTATTCCATATTTAACATTCAAATTATATTATATTGATTTGTCAATTATAAGCCTTCCATAATGTGTTATGAATATTCCAGATTTAGAAAAAAGAAAGCTGAAACAACAGGTACAATTCTTTAATTCCTCTTTAATGTATCATTTTTCTTTTGGCAGTAGAATACAATGCAATATTTTCATAAATATGACCTAGGATATACTCTTTACACCTGTCTATGGCTTTTATTCTTAAGGATATGTTTGGTGATGTAATTTTAAGTACAACCCCTCAATATAATGGCTAGAGCGCCAGGAGTCAGGAAGACCTGAGTTCAAATCCAGCCTCACATACCTTGTTTGCCTCAGTTTCCTTTTCTGCAAGATAGGGATAATAGTATCTACTTCCCAGAATTGTTATGAGGATACAATGAGGTATTTGTAAACCTTAGAGTGCTATGTAAATGCCATCTAACTAATCTAATTCCATGCCCAAAAAAATGCAAAGAAAAAAAAACCACTCTCTGAACCTCAGTATCCATTTCTGTAAAATGGGGATAACACCTATAGTACCAAAATGTGATAATATATGTAAAGCACTTTGCAAACTTTTATGCATTATGAACTATTAATAGCATTATATAATCACCCTTTATAATCCTTCCATTAAAGAATTTTTTTTGCTTTTTGGTGAGGCAATTGGGGTTAACTGACTTGCCCAAAGTTACACAGCTAGTAAGTGTGAAGTGCCTGAGGCTGAATTTGAACTCAGGTCCTCCTGACTCCAAGGTTGGAGGGCTACAAAGTCAAATTTATTGGCACCCCTCTGCACTGTTAGACCTTTTCCCCTGGAATCAGTATGACAGCTGAGTGTGATTAGCTGGGTTTTTAAAATGTATACTACAGTGCTTAGACATTTGGGCATAAAGGAGCAGAAAGATATTGGATAGGAGCAGCTAGGTGGACTTAGAACAACAGCTGAATTAAGGGAGGCAGCACAAACTATGTAAAATGTACTGGGCCAGGAGTCATGAGACATGGGTTCAAATCCCACCCTGCTACTTCCATATGTGACGTTGGGTAAGTCATACAGTATCCCCGGTCCTCATTTTTCTTACCTGCAAAATGAAGAGCTGAGATGAGACAGCCTCTCAGGTCTCTTCCAGCTCCTATGGTTAAGCCCAATGTGGACAAATGTATGACAAACTATAATGCAGGCTTCACCCGAATTAACAAAAGCAATATATCCAAAACAGTTTCTCTATCCTGATTAGAACTTATTTTAAGAGGATCACTGACAAAATGCATCAAGACCCAAGGAAAGAAAAGAAAGATGGCAAAGAGGACTTTGTTCCATGACATAAAAGATAAACAGCTGAAAGAACTAGAGATGTTTATTCTAGAGAAAATTGTCATTTCCCTCCCAAATGGACAGAAGGACTAAGAAAATGACAACCAAAGTATTTGGAGAACTATAGAGAAGTTTGACTTAACAGAAAAATATGTAGCAGGCCTCTACACAAGTCACTTGCAGGAAAATTCACAAATAAAATTTCCATCTTTAGAACAAACTCCCTTTTGTGTATGTGATATACCTTCAAAAATAGGTGGGTAATGATTGTCTCTTAGTTATGGATAGTTAAAAAAACAAAACATAAAAGACCATACAAGGAAAACATTACTTGACCATTAAAACCTCAAAATTTTTAAGGGAATTCCAGGGTGTCTTTATTAAAAATAATTATACTTTTAGAAAATTGCCCTGGTGCAGTTTCCCTATAATAAAAAAAGAAACCAAAAAGGTAGAGAATGGCTACAATTACTATTGAATAACAACTATTTCAAATCACTAAAAAATTTCTATTTTGTACTTTGCACATATTTTTGTCACAAAGACATTCTCAATTCATTCGATATGCCTGTCTACCACAAAGAACTAATTTGTGTTACAACGTTCAACATGGCAGATATGAAAGAAACTATGTTCCCGTGTTCTAAACATGTAAATTAATGAGATAATGGTACTTAAACAGTGACTACAATGTATCATAACATTCACTTAGAGGAATGCACAAAGGACAAAATATGATCTAAATCCTTAGGTGAATGTCATTAAACAACTATGGCTGTAAAATGAGAAACAGGATCACAAATTTAGAGACACAAAGTATTATAGAAGCCAACCTCCTCCCTCATTTACAGAAGAGGATACTGAGGGCCAGAGCAGTGATTTGCCCAAGTTCATATGAAGACCAGTATTTGAAGCCAAGTCTCTTTTTACTGCACCATAATGCCATAGCATCTAGTACTAATCAGGTATATGACCAATGCACAGAGTAGGTGGGCAATCAATAGGGTTCTTCACATAAGGTACCTACTATATTCCAGGAAACATAATAGATGCTACAGACACAAAAATGACAACAGTCCCTTAATCATATATATATATATATATTCAATGAAGTACTCCTGAATGGCTCTTAAGAATTTCTCTGAAGGAAATTGTTTGCTACACTAACTAAAATGATGGGAGTTTCTGCTATTTTGTGTCTGCCTATATTTGTTGACATTGTGAGCTCCAGAAAGCAGATTTTTTTCACTTTTGTTATTGTACTCCCAGTGCCCGACACATTGTGAGCATGTAATGACTGCTTGTTGACTGACAGTAAAGCAGCTCTGTAACTTACTCAACAAGTAAATCTATGGAATGAGGGGACACTGGGTTGTTTGATCCCCAAAGCTCCTGTCCTTAATCTCTTATAAAACACAAAACTACAGCTTTTCCACAGGGTAGTGTGGTGAAAAGAGAATTGCATTTGGAATGAGGGAGGCTGGGTATGAATTCCAGTTCTGCCACCTACCTTTGTGAGCTTGGGCAAATCACTTAAGCTCTACTGGCCTCAGTTTCCTCCTTAGTATAATGCAGTTAATCTAGGTCAAAGGTTCGTACTTTTTTTCTGTAACGACCACTCTCTGGAAGTCTGATGAAACCAATAGACCCTTTCCCAGAACGTTTATAGCTTACGTTCATAATTGGAGCAAGTGCTAACTCTCAGTTTGCAGTTAATTAAAATAAAGATGTTTTTTCCCAACCAAGTTCAAAGATGCCCTGAAATCTATCCACTGATTCCCTTCTGTGGACCCCAGATTAATAATAACTCCTGTTCTACACAATCTCTATGGTCCCTGCCAATTTTAAAACTAAGATCATGGGACTTTCAGCGAATCATCCATAACAACACGGGGCAAAAAATCTCCAAAGATCAAGACACATCAGCCTTGTCTTGGAAGCATCACATTCCTTAAAAGATCACTTACAATGTTAACGATTATGGTTATAATGGCTAGCATTGGCAGAGTGCTTTAAGGCTTGCAAAGCACTTTACAAACATTTTTTTTATCCTCACAAAAACCCTGGGCAGGAGATGCTATTATCCCCATTTTGCGGAAAACTAAAGCAGACAGAGTTAAGTGGTATGTCCAGGGTCGTAGGGCAGTTAAGCGCCTAAGCCCGAATGACTCCAAGTCCAGCATTCTGTCTACTGCTACAAATCCTTCCCCTCCCCCACCAAAAAAATCAATTAGGAAGAAGCAAGTCTAGATGAGTAGCCCATCTGGTGCAACACCCAAAGCCCCTGTCCCGCTAAGGCTTGGGCGGCGGGGCCCGGGGAGCAAAGGGGCACAAGGCCCCCCCGGGGGTCCCCACAGGGAAACAGGCGGCACCTAAAGGCCCCGGCAATGGGCGGCTGCTCACGAACGAGCACGAAGCTTTTCACGGTTCGGCTCTGCCTGTCTCGGCCCGGCCCGGCGGCGGGACCCGGCGCTAGGTCCCACCGGCGCCGGCCTCCCCCGTCTCTCCCTACCCTTGCACCAGAGCTCCGGAGACGGGCCGCAGCGCACGTGTCACCCACCAGTACCGCTCTCACGCGCGTGCGCGCCCCTGCTCCTCCCCAGAGAGCAGCATGGATAGAGCGAAAGGACACCCGCAAAAGAGGACGTGGAGCAGGGAAACAAAGGAGAAGGAGGCGCAGTTCGCCGGTACCTTGGCGGTGGGGACCACCATGATCTTCTTAAAGTTGTACAACGCCATGCTGCCAGCCGGCTCGCAAACTGAGGAGCCGGAAGTAAGTTGCTCGGGAAATGAACACAGAGAAAGATGGGACAAGACACTTCCGCTGACGTAGAGGATGTGTCGGGGAAACGAGCTGCGCAGCCGCGTGAGTTGGGGCTGAAGGCACTTCCGGCGGAAGGCCGCTCTGAGCCGGTGTCGCCTCCCAGAAGCAAACGGGCTGCGGCTCCGCCTCATGTCTGGTGCTTGTCCCGACGTGATTCTGGAACCGCAGAAACATTGAGACTGCGCGGGGGCAGTTAATGAAAATACCCTCTTGTCCGCGGAGCCCGAAATTAGTCTCGGCTTTGGTTAGAGAAGGCAGCCGAGCCTTAAGTGGTGCCCCCCAGAGGCCCACCTCCGCATTGCGACTGCGGGGGGTGGGGGGAGAGGGCCTTCCAGGAGTTAAGGGCAAGGGTGCCGCGCCCCCCACCCCGAACCCTCACCGAACCCAGAGTTAGCAGGAGTGGCTCCGCTGGCCTGCCTGACGCGAATTTAAATTCAGCAGAAGATAGAGACTTTTTATATGCACCACTCTAAAAACACAAAGTTTGGAGGAGGGAAAAAGATTCCCCAAGAAGCTTACATCCAGTTCTGGGGGAGAGGAGGAGCACCATAATAAAACTCTTAAAAAAAAAATAGCCATAATTTCATCAGTATACCGAGTGCGCCTGGAGAGGAACTTAAGCCACTTGGATCCGCCTTCCTTTGTGGCTCAGGTATCTTAATGAGCTGCCCGGGACTTCTGAGAGATGAAATAATTTACTTAGTATTTACATAGTCACACGATGTGGTCAGTGGCAGGACTGGAACTCAGGTGTTCCTGACTCATGCCAGCCCCCTTCAATCTCCTGGGCCTCTACTGCCTCTCACAAGTGAAATAACCTGGATAAACATAATTAAAATAGGAATAGAACCAAAGAGAAATGCAAATTTGTTCTGGAATATAGGGAAATTTGGGAGGGAGAAAACTTAAGCAGGAAAGCGAAGCAAATTAGCAAATCAAAGCAATTTAGAAGAGGAGCTCAGAGCTAGGTCTTGAAGCACATAAGTTTGGGACTATATACATACATATATATAAAATATACACATATACATAGATAGACTTGGGAAGAGAAAAAACTAAGCTAAGAAGATCAAGGAAACAGAACAGGAGATTTTTAAACCCTAGAGATAGATACAGAGAAAGATAAATAGGACATTTAAGGGGTACTTAACATGGAATTAAACTGAGTTAATTGTAGATGTGGAGGACAGACTTGCTCGTAAGGCTTGTAACACTTGAAGGTGGCAAAGCTTAGAATGATGCTGAGGAGGAACTAGTTGTCCAATTTGGCTTGAATGGACTCTTCATGCCCGTGCTGCTCTAGGTTTATGATTCTAAGAAACTGAAATTGAAAATGGAATGACAGGTAATAGTCCCCAGAGAAGAGAGAAGACAATCAGATTAAGGGCATTCCTCTATGGAGGAATGAGTGGATGTGTAAAGACATAGAGGTTTTGAGATATGGAGGAAGGAAGATAATAAAGCTCATGATCTGTGTTCTCAACTGAGTAGGAGACAAAAATCATGTGGAAAAAGGGGAAGAATGGGACTTGAGAGATGAAGGTTTGAAACAACCACAGTGGGGAGTATGACCAGTTAAAGATATATATGAATTTGTATTGGACCCAATCACGGGGGTGGGGTGTTGCAGGAAGGAAGGGAGCTTGTAGTTGAAGGAATCAAGGAAGGCTTCATGGAAAAGGTAGTACTTGAGCTGCATCTTGGAGGAAGAAGAGGATTGTTTGGTGAGGGGGGATTGCGTTCCAGGCACCAGGGATAACCAGTGCAGGTGCTAGACCAGGGGTGGGGAGCCTGAGGCCTGGAGGCCAAACTTCATAGAACAAATCCCCTTAATAAAAGATTTTGTTCTGTAAAACTTGGACTCAGTCAAAAGCCTGCTAGATTGTAGAAGGCAGGAAGGAAAATAATGTATAATGAAATTGGGAAGATAGGTTCGGGCCAAGTTGTGAAGGAAGAGTGTTAAAAAGCTATGGGTATGCATAATGCAAGGATGTTTAAGAAACTGGTTAGGGTCTTTAAGAAGCTTGCAATCTAGTGAAAAATAAATATGTGCATGCTAAATAACTATGTAGACTGCTAGCCAGTAAATGTCCCATGATTAGTTTGGACAAATACTATAGGAGGCAAGTAGAGGGAAAATCTCTGGGTCTTAGAGTTAGAAGAGCTGCCTTGGCCTTGACGTTGGTTCTGGTACTCTAAGTCATTTAACCTTGCTAAGCTTCAATATTCTTATTATGAGGCTAATAGCAATTGCCTTCTTTACAGGGTTGTTTGAAAAGAACTTTGTAAACCTTAAACTTGTGAATTACATATGAATTATTGAAATGTTTAATAGTAGTTCAGAGGAAGGAAAAGATCACTTCCATTTGAGTTAATGAGTAGACTTTTTTGAGAGATGACAAAATTTAGGTGGGCATTGGAAGATGAGTTATATTACAGTGGGGCAGCATTCCAGGAAGAGAAAATGGGGTAACTAAAGGTGAAGAGATAGAAAGGCAAACGGCTTGCTCCAAGAGCAGTCGACAAACCAGTTTAGCTGAGGAAAATGTTTGCATAGAGGAGTACTAGATGATAATCTTGAAAAGGTGTATTAGGAGAAGATTGTGGAATACCTCAAAAGCCAGATATTAGAGTTTGGAATTTCGGAGTCATTGAAACTACTTAAGCAGAGGAATTATGTGTTCAAAATAATGTTTTAACAAAATTCCAATGGCAGCAATATGTAAAGTATTAAGGGTCTGAACTAGGATGGTAGCAGTGAAAATGGAGAGGACAAATGTGAGAGACATTAATCTTCCAGTGTACGGGTGGAAGTGGGGCTAAATCTTAGTGATCACATTTCAGAGCAATGGTTGAAAATAAACTGGCTTTAGAAGTTGACTAGAATCACACAACCTCTATTTTACAGTTAAGAAAACTGAGGCCTCGAAATGGATGTCCAATTGACATCTTAAACTCAACATGTACAAAATGAAACTCATCATCTTTCCCCCTAACCTGTTCCCCCTCTCCTCTCCTCCACCTTCCCTATTACTATTGAGAGTAACACCATCCTCGCAGGTCCTCATGTTCAAAACCTAGGAGTCACCCTGAATTCCTGGCCACCACCCCTATACCCAATCTATTGCCAAGGCCTGTCAATTTCACCTTTGCAACATCTTTCATATATGCCCCTTCTCTCCTCTTGACACCGCTACCACTCAAGTTCACTCATGCCTGGGTTATTATAATGGCCTGGTGGTGGGCTGGCCTGCCTCAAGTCTCTTCTCTTTCCAGTCCATCCTCCATTCAGTCACTAAAGTGATTTTCCCAAAGTGTAGGTCCAGTCATCTCTGTCTCTCTCTGTCTCTCTCTGTCTCTCTCTCTGTGTCTCTCTCTGTGACTCTCTGTCTCTTTCTGTCTCTGTCTCTCTGTCTCTCTGTCTCTCTCTCTCACACACACACACACACACACACACACACACACACCCCACCGCACCCCCATTCAAGAAACTCCAGTAGCTCCCTATTACTCTGAGATCAAATGCAAAATGCTTTGTTTAGCATTCAAAACTTTTTATAACCTAACCTCTTCCTACCTTTCCAGTCTTCTTACACCTTACTCCCTGGATGAATGCTCTTTAATCCAGTGACACTGGCCTCCTGGCTGGACCAGGAACAAGACATTCCACCTGTCTATTCTGGGTATTTTCTTTGGCTGTCCCCCCTACCTGGAATGGTCTTCTTCTTCCACTCCAATTGCTGACTTCCCTGGCTTCTGTTAAATCTCAACTAAAATCTTGTTATTTGCTGGAAGCCTTCCCCAACCTCTCTTAATTCTAGTGCCTTCCATCTGTTAATTATTTCCTGCTTACCCTGTATATAGCTTGTTTGTACATATTTGTTTGTATGTTGTCTCTTCCGTTACATTGTAAGCTTCTTGAGGGCAAGACTGTCTTTTGCCTCTTTTTTGTATCCCCAGTGCTTAGCACAGTGCTGGCACATAGTAGGCCTTTAATAAATATTTATTGCTTGAGGGATTGATAAGTGCCAGGCACTGTGTATGTATACAAAGGTGAAACAGTCCCTGCCCTTAAGCAGCTTGCATTCTACTAAACAAAAGAAAAGAATAGATTCCCCTGTCCATTTTTCTACATCTGTCATCTAGAAGCAGATACACACACACACACACACACACACACACACCACCACCACCACCACCACCACCTGGAGAACAATTTTCCAAAACAACATGTAAGGAGGAGGCAGGGAGAGGAAAGGGGCAGGGTGTGGGGCGGGGTGTGGAGCAGGACTCTGTCCACAGGAGCACTTGTTTTATATTGGTCCTACAGGTAGAAAGGCAGAAATGTAACAAGCAGGCTTGGAAAACAACCAGTTTTAGAGAAGAAAAGGGGAATGGAAAGGAAGGACTGATCAGGTTGCAGGTGCAATCTCTGCATAAGCTACTAGATGGTACTTCAAGCATAACCAGCTCCAACTCCCTCCCTTTGTAAATGCACAAAGGGAACATAGGCATTCCAAAACCCAGTCCCCTTTCAGGCTCTTATGCACATATTCTTTTCAAAGAGTGTTCATCTGGCTTCCAAAGGTCCCAATGCCCTAGCCTGGGTTTCTGTCTTTAGTATGAAGATTCTAATCAGTAATTAATGATTTATCAAAGTAGCTCTGTTCCAATTCTGTTGAGAGTCTCATATTCCCAATTTTGTGCAACCCTAAAGGATTAATCATATATAGATTACAGTACATTTTACAGAATGAAATACAAAGGGAAAGGTACTACATTAATTCTCCACAGTAGCTGGGCTTTGGTGAGGTCCATATATTAAATTCCCTTAATGATTCCTTTGGGCCTAGTTAATCATGAATGATCAGAATTACTTTTTAGGGAAGTACTCTCAAGCTTTAAAATATCTTGGGAGACGGCTCTTATAATAACAACTTTCATACTCAAGAAGATTACATTCTAGTGGGGGAGACAACATGCAAATAACTATGTACATACAA